TTTGCATCTGAAACTTGTCTTTTTTTGGCTAAGGAATCCACTGAGTGCGCTGGATCCCGTGGTTAATAACAGTAGTAATAATGCAGCTCCTCCAAGCAACTGAGAAGGAATTAATTTCTTTCCATTCCATGTTCTGCCAGGGTGGAGGTGATGTGGTCGTCACTCATCCGGAAGGAATTTCAGAGGTAATTACAAAAGGCAGAACTGGGAGCACAAGGAGCTGCAGCTACAGGTTTGGGGTATGGGCTGATGGAAAGGGGGGGTCCCCACCCTGCTTTGTTGATGAAACTCAGGGTTTCCAGGTAGCTCCTGGGGGTGTGTCTCCCATGCTTCTGCAGCTCCAGACATGGAATGGATTTGCTGCTCTGGTGCAGGGACCTCCTGATACAGAGGTTCCAGAGGATGGTGCTGGAGCTCACCCACTGCTCAGGAGCTTTTCTTCCAGATCCCACCTCAGGAGCGGTGTCTGGGCAGGTCCCTCTGGGCCAGAGTCCCTCCGGTGTGAGAGAGGCTGAGCAGGTTCTGGAGCTCCCTTCCCTCCCCCTCCTTGTTTCTTTCCACCAGGATGAGCAGTTGCTGGAAGCCAAGAGCAAGAGGCAGGAGAGCACTTTAGAAACGCTGTAAACCTGGGAGTAAACTCTTGGCTGAATTTGCATTTCGCACCATGCTGCTGTCAAGGTAAAAACTTCTCCTTTGAGATTAGGGAGTTCTGCCTCTGTCAGGACAAAAATTGCAACTCAAGCCCCTTTAGTGAGAAATCGGAGCCATTTTCCTGTGGTTTAGTGAACGGGGATGTCTCCAACAGCTTTTCATCACCTCCTCTCCATCCCTCTACTCCACTGCTCCTATCCAGATTCCACCTGAGAATGCTTCATCTGATGCAACTTCTCAGGCTGAAATTTTTAGATGCTCCTCTCTGTGTTTTGTTTGCAAAAATAACCATATTTGTAAAACAAGAGCATGTCAAAGTACCTTGCATTGGTTCACCTGTGCTACTTAATCTCAGTTTAATTATCAGCAAAGTCAAGGCTGTAATTTAGGTTAATTTCTTAAATTAAAGCCTTTGGGTTAAACTTGGGCTTCCAAGCTAAATTCAAACCGACTCATTGCGGGCGTAATTTGCTATTTCATCCTGCATTAATGAAGACCAGCAAGACAGAGGTTTTTCCACAGGAGCCCACTGAACTCACAGCACCCATGTGCTGTGGGGCCAGGCCCCTCTGAGACCTCCTGGGTGAGAGGTGAGTGTCCATGAATCCCATTTCCTGAAGGGATGGATTAGGACGAGCTCCTCAGAAGTTTTCTCATAGGTGTTTCCCTGTGCTGGGTCCTTTGAGCCTGTTCCCAGCAGTATCTGGAGGCCAGTCAGCTCCAGCTCCTGGGTGACTTTGAAGTGTAGGTGTGACCTGCTTTCACCAGGTAATTGTTTTCTGTGCCAGCACGGAGACTCTGGGTGCACTCCAGGCTTTGCGAAGAACTTCAGCTCCATTATTTCTCCTTGGCACATGCCTGGGGAGGGCTTGTTCTCCCTGGGCTCAGCTGCATCTCGAAGGACTCTCAGACTTTTGGGGGGGGTCTGGTACCTCCTTTATCCTGTTCTGGTACCTGGTTGGTGGCACCTGAAGGAACCTGGATCCTCCACATCTCCTTGTAATGCCTTTGGAAAATCCCCTGCCCTAGGCTGGGCTGCTGGGGCTGTGACCCCACATGAAAACATGAACTCCAAAGGCTGATGGTGGTCGCAGGGTGTTTGTTCTAGCCTATCCTTTCTCCTGGCCCTGGGGCATGTCTTTTCTCTCAGTAAAGAACACAGAGCCTTGGAAATGGTGTTGCTGGAGAGTCCCACAGTTTTGGCAAGCTCTGTGCACATTCCACATCCCTCAGCTCCATCCCTCTCCCGGCTTGGTTTTCCTTCTGAAGATCCGCAGTGCTGGTGTGGAGTTTAATTTCTCCCTGTTGAAAAAAACCTGGATCAGCACAAAGAGCTGGGAAGACAAACAAGGATTATCCATGTGTCCTGTAAAGTGGATCCAATCACAAGGCAGTGATTCCAGGGGGCCTCATGTTTATTTACCACTCAGCTGTCCCAAGGGATTGGTTCCATTCCTGACTTCCATCTGCTCTGGGCAGCAGGGAATATTGTTCCACTCTGGATTTGCTGCATCCTGTGTTGCCTTCCCTGCAGGCATTCCATGTCTTGTTTCATTTTCAGCCTGTGCAAATAAACAATTTGCAAATTAAAATAATTTTATTTGATGGAAATTCTGCTTTTTAGTCAAGAAAGCTGCAAAGTTTTGTTTTGGAATTGTTAAGGGGAGTTGGTTCAGTGTTTTGGGACAGGATCATTCCCATAGGAAACACTGAAATTAAATGTTGGGTTTCAGAAAATGTTTCACCTGGTGTTTTGGTGGCAGCTAAAATCACGTGTCACATTTAACTTGAGTGTGTCAAATTTTTCAGGTCTCTGCAAATCAGGAGGATGGAAGTTGAATACGGCTTTCTGCATCTGCTCTGCAAATTGTGCCAGGATGGCTCTTAGAACACTTCACTGGAAACAGAAAACACACAGAGCTGCTCAGAGCTTTTTGGTTGCATCCTCACCCTCAGAGTGCAGGAGACAGACCCAGCACTGGCTCACGGAGGTTCAGGAGGTCTCTTGGTGCCATGGGGCTGCGTAAGGATTTGGCAAAGATGTTTCATGGAGGGTTCACTGGTGATGGACGTGGCTGATGGTCCAGTGTGTTGTGCAACTTGTGTCAACAACCAGAAACCATCAAATTTGACATTTTCAGTGATAAAACCCAACAAATTGGGCTGCTCTGCCTCCAACCACCACCTCAGCTCTGGGAGCTTGTCCCCATTTCCTCAAATCAGTCTAAGGAGCAAGGCCAGATGTGTGAAAAGTGGACAAAATTCTTCAATTAATGCAGCGCAACCATTCACCCACCATAAAACCTCCTGTGGTGCAAATGGGCTGTCCCAGCTTTCCCAAGACGTTGTCCCATGGCCCTTCCCAGGTGCTGGAGTGGAGCCTCAGGATGTTCATCCCACCATTGGACCATTGGGCGGGACCATCCCTTTCCCTGCTCTGGGTCCCCACCTGCTGGAGATGCTTGGCTGGCTTGCCTGGGATACTCACACCTGCACCAGGTGATGGACAAGGGGGTCCCGTTGGTGTGGGAGGCTTTTCTCTGGAATGTTGCACAAGGGGCTTTTTCTAGCAGACCTGGCTTACATGCCATCTCCTCTCCACCCCTGGCTGGAGGTTGCAGGGATTGAGGGATGGGTTGATGCACAGTGACCATCTCCTTTTGGGACCAGCATTCCCAAAGGGCTGTGGGTCCTTCCTCATCTGCCCCCTTCTGCCCTGGCTCTTTCCTTGCCCATGGTTCTTGTCCTGCCATTGCGGCTGGATTCCCACCTTGCCTGGTGCTGCCCCGCTCCTGCCGGGATCCACACCTGGCACTGGCAGGAAGTGGGATCAGGAGATGCCTGTGGAGCCACAGGAGGGAGCCCAGGCTTGGTATGAGATCTCAGCTGAAACCCCCCCAACCGGGCAGGTCATGGAAATCTCCCGGGTGGCTGTGTGGGAATTGGGAGACTGAAGTGTTGTGGGCACTTTGGAAGACCTTGGGTTCACTCCAAACTTGAGGCCCTGAAACTGCTCTTGCAGAGGAGCAGCCAGGATGTTTCATGGGATATTTGCACATCCCAGAGAAACCTCAGTGTGCAAACAGCGTATGTGCAGATTTTGGGTGCCTTGGCCTGTGCCTGCCCCTGCAGCTGCTCTTCCCAACCAGGTCAATGCCCACCTGCTCTAAACGCTTCCTGCTATGTGCCAGTCTCACTGTGTCCTCGCCATGGTGCTGATGCCAGAGATGGGCTCCTCTGATTTACTCCTGCTTGTACAAAATAATGGCTGAGCCATGCCCTACATGAGGCGGCCCATGAATCCCAAATAAACCTTTGGGAATCGCCTTCCTTTTCCCACTTCCCTGCACTTCCTCCTGCAGTGACAGGCAGAAAGGATAACTTTGCGGGTAACCACCGCAGTGGGCTTCATCCAGCTTTTGGCTCTGTTCTGAGGCAACATTTCCTTCCTGTGCCTCAGTTCTCCTTCCATAGAATCATGGAATATTTTGGGTTGGAAGGGACCTTAAAGCCTATGCCGTTCCACCCACATGCCATGGGCAGGAGCACCTTCCATAGACCAGGTTGCTCATCTCACCCTCCTTTCCATTTGCCCCGACTTGTCCTGGAGCCCAAGTCCTAAAAGTGAGTTTTGTTTCCTCAAGGAGCCAATCCTGTCTCAGGAACTGCCCTCAGGGTGTCCCCAGTGCAGCAGGGACACGGCACAGACCAACACTCACATCAGGAGGAGGGAAGAAAAGCCAAAACCCCAGAGTTTAAAAATGACAAATGCTCTTTTATTGGACCTTACAGTAGGTTAGGCAGGGAAGTAAGGAGGCTTGCAGCCACGAGGACGAGTAGTTAGAAATCTTATACACACAAAGCAAAAACCTTTCCCACAAGTGCCGGAGAAAATAGAAGGGGCTGGAAGAAATCTTGAATTGCAGGCAAAACCTTTGGAGGTTGTAACATGTGTTGGGGGGCAGAGGCTTTTAGAGCCTTGTGGAGATGTTTTCACTGCTGAAAACCTGGGACTGTGATTCCACAAGGCTGTGATTCACCCTTGGAATGGGATGAATGAAATGATTGTCCCTGTTCCATAGTGCTTCCATTTTCCTTTAAATGCCTGACCTTGAGGAGACACCAAGGGCTTGCTGACAGAGGGGCACCACAGGCTCCATGCCTAGCCAGTGACCTGTTACAACCTGTGCTTCAGCCAAAGGTGCTCCAGATTCTCACAGAGGGGTCCTGGTCCCCCCTGCTGCCCCAGAGGTGAAGGACGGAGGAAGGAGAGGCTCTAGCGCAGCTATTTACACCATGATCTGCAGGGCAGGAGGCCGGAATTGCCGACGGCCACGTGCTTGCCAGCCTTATCTGATGGTCTTTTTGCTGGTGGTGGTCTTGGAAACGATCCTGACGCTGCCTCCTGTGCTGGAGTTGATGCCCCGGCTGCTCCCGGAGCTGAAGGAGCTGCCTCCACCGTAGTTGAGCCCCCCAGAGAAGCCTCCGCTGCCGCCTCCGAAGCCGCTGCTGCTCATGGTGTAGCTGCTGCTGCCGCCTCCACCGCCCATGCCGAGCCCCCCGCCCAGGCCCAGGCAGCTCCCGCCACCATAGCCCATCCCGCTGGAGCTGCTGACCACGGCTGAAATGAACCAGGAACACCCGCGTGAGGGGACAGCTGGAGTCCCAAGGTGGGGAGATCTTCAGTGTCACCCCCTTGATGAGGGGTGGCTGGGAAGAGGGGGAAGGGAGACAAAGAGGTGGAAGGAGGGGGGTATGAAGGGGTGGAAGGGAGGTGATACTCACAGACACTGACAGCTCCGACTCCTTCTCCAGCAAGCCTGTTGGGAAAGGGGAAAGTGAGCAATAGTGCCAAAGCCTCGTCCATGGGACCATCCAACTAGGACTGTAGGGTGGGGTATGTCTGTGTTACAGGTGAACGGTGACAGTGCTCATTTTTATCAGTATCAGGTGCCAAGAGCTGGAGAAACAAAACTTTGCCTACAAAGTTCACAGTTTCAACCATCTGTCTGTCTGCCCTGGTGCACCAGCCCCTTGGGAAGAGCTGTTTGACCCCAAGGACATGGTCCTTGGTCAGCACACAGCATGTCCACATGTCCTCACCTGCTCTCCTCGCCCTCCAGCAGCTTCCTGTAGGTCGCAATCTCGATGTCCAGGGCCAGCTTGACATTCATGAGCTCCTGGTACTCCCGGAGCTGTCGGGCCAGGTCAGCCTTGGCTTTCTGCAGGGCATCCTCCAGCTCGCTCAGCTTGGCCTTGGCATCCTTGAGGGCCAGTTCCCCGCGCTCCTCAGCCTCAGCAATGGCTGCTTGGAGGTTGGCACACTGGGAGTGGTGAGAACAAGCCATTGTTTCATTTGGGCTCCCCAAACCACTCTCTCTCTTGCTGGGGGGTTGTGGACACTGGCTGGTGGCTCCCAGGATGGCACTGAGGGCTCCTGATGGGACCTGGCTCCTCCTGCTGTGCCTGACCACCATCACCTCCCATCAACCTCCTCCTGCACTGCAGGACCATCCCTCTCCTACCTGTTTCTTCACACTGTCAATCTCATTCCGCAGCCTCTGGACCATCCGGTTGATCTCTGAAATCTCAATCTTGGTGTTCCTCAGGTCATCCCCGTGTCTCCCAGCAGAGACCTGGAGCTCCTCATACTGGTGCAGGGAAAGGAAGAGAGCACTGGTGAGCACTCAGAGCTCAGGGAAGGGTGAGGGGACTTTGGTGGACAGGATGGATGAGGATTAAGGGGTGGGGGACAAGATTCCTCTGAAATCTGCCCACAGAATAATGGCACTTGCCCTTAACTCTCAATATCTTCTGGGAAGGCAGTGCTTGATGGCACAGGGGACCTGGGCATTGTCACCTGCAAGAACCTGGAAGGGGAAGTGTTTAAGGCCAGTTCTGCCAGTAACTCTGTAAGCCCAAAGTCAAAACTTTTGAACAGCTCATCCCTGTCTCCCCTCAGCTGATGGGAAATAATTTATGATAATTTCTGACCACAGAAATCAGTGTGTCACCCCAGTTGCCCACCTTGTTCTGGTACCAAGCCTCGGCCTCGGCGCGGCTCCGGTTGGCGATGTCCTCGTACTGCGCCTTCACCTCGGCAATGATGCTGTTGAGGTCCAGGTTCCGGTTGTTGTCCATGGACAGAACCACGGAGGTGTCAGACACTTGCTGCTGCATCTGGGACAACTCCTGCAGAAGATGCAAAATATGAAGTTAATGGTCTCGTATTGATGGTGGAAACCACAGAGATGAGGTGATTTTGGAGTCCTCCCCGCCAAGATGTTTTCTTGCATTTCCCTTTCTCCATCTCCATTTTGTAACTGATTTAGTTACAAAGGCTGGGCCACTTTCTCCTCTGGTCCCGTAGAGCCCTGGGTGTGGAGTCCATGGGGCAGGAGCTGGGAGATGCTCTCCAGGAGCCACTCACCGCCTCATACAGAGCTCTCAGGAAGTTGATTTCATCTGCCAGAGCATCGGCCTTGCCCTGGAGCTCAACCTTGTTCATGTAGGCGCCATCCACATCCTAAAGAGAAGATACCAATGGTTTCTGATTAAACCAGAACACAAAGGGCTTCAGGACACCAATGGAACCGTATTGGCTTCCAGGTCTATTATTCATATGATTGTGAAACCATGGAATGATTTGAGTTGGAAGGGACCTGAAAGCTCATCCAATTCCCACCCCTGCCATGGGCAGAGACACCTTCCATAGACCATTCATATTGCCTTGGACTCTTCCAAGGATGGGGCAGCCACAGCTTCCCTGGGCAACCTGTGCCACTGCCAGCAGTTCCTTAGGCTCATTTTTATGTCCCTGTGATGAAGGTATTTTTTTAATGTAATGGACATTGACTGTGAGCCAGAACCAGGTTCTTGGGCAGAAGGCAAAGGTCTGACTCACAAGGATGTCACCAGAGACTGAGTTGAGCTGAGCCACAAGAGACCAGAAAACAGGGCAGCTCTATGGGCACAGTGAAGGTTGTGTCCATTCCTGGCCTCAGGAGGACCCAACCTAGGATGTGCTGATCTCCCAGCTTGACCCAGTCACAAGGGTGCAGGACCCCAACTCCCACCAAGTCTTTTTTGAACTCTGCAAGGTGAGTTAATTCCCTTTCCTGGCCCATAATTCCCAACCCAGTCACCTTTTTGAGGACCACGAACTCGTTCTCAGCACCTGTGCGCCGGTTGATCTCATCTTCATATCTGCCGGGATAAAAGAGTGAGGAGGGTTGGATGGAATGAAGAGGTGGGAGTACTCCATTCCCAAATCATCAGTTGTGGCTCATGGATATATTCCCTACTCCCACATGTTTATCCAGAGCAGACGCAGAGCAAATATTGCTGTCTTTGAACTGTGGGACTCCATGGTATGAGTAGTCCCAGTTAAATTAATATATTTTAATCACTGTCCATAAAGTCAAGCTCATACATAAATGTGCAGATTCAGAGCCCGTTTTGGCAGGAAGCAGGAGCAGCCATTCCTGGTGACCTTCGCTCCAAGCAAAGTTATGCAAAAGACTTCCAACAAAGCTGCACTGCAATGTCTACAAATGTATAATAAAGCAATCATTTGATATTTGATATTACAATAATGCTAATGGCTCTGAAGAACCCACTGCAGCATTTAATTAAAACAAAAAACTCCATAGTTGTGCAAGAGAGGATCATTACAGCTCTGACAGTGGTTCTGTGGAACTTTCTATGGCTCTGAGCAATATTCTCTCATCAGATAATCAGGGCAGGGCTTAGCTAGAAAGTAGACAAAACATGCAGGCTCTTGAGACAAAACCTGGCTTTCAAAGGCAGATTCGTGCTACTCCTCTCACCAATACTGGCCAAGTTTTACCTACAGCTGGATCTCTTAGTGGACAAGGGAAGAGGGGGAATTAGCCAGTGGACTGGGAACAAACTCTAGACTTAAAATGTGTTCACTTTCCCAGGAGGTAGCTCTGAAATTCATACTGTAAAATGGATTATTTTGGGCCTAACCGGTATTTCTAAAAGCCTAGAATACATTTCAAGACCTCAAAAGCACCCAAAACCACACCAGAAGCTCTGCCAGTCCCTCCTGTTGGATTTAAGCATTGTCTTCCCAGCTCCCCTCGCAAAAAATCTGTCTCTTCCCATGCTTAACTACTTAATATTAACATATTCCAGCCCTGAAGTGTGAGTCTCAAATTTGCAGCCAGGACTGGTTGAAGAAGGGACATATTGTTCTCAGACAAATAAAAGTCAATGGCCTCACCTAAAAATCCTCCCCCAAAAATCCCCTCCAGGCAGCAGGTACTAACTGGTGTGTCCTGAGAATGATCCATCCCCCCTCCACTGGATCCAGCATCTCAGCAGGGGTTAATTCCCTCCCCAGGGAAATTTTTGTCAAAGGGTTTATCATCTTCCAGGTGATGGGAGCTGAGTGAGCCAAAACAATCCCAGGTCACCTGGGCCCTCTAGAAAGGCTGGAATTTCCTTCACAGAATGGGAAATGGGGGATTTTGGAGCTGGAAGTTTATTGGCTACATTTAATAATGGTTTTGCTGGTCTATTATCCTCACAATTTACTAATTTTTCTGTCTCCTGGTATATTATTTCAGGAGACTCTAGGGATCAGACTATGACTTCTGTTGTGCTGGAGCAGTTCCCCAGGAATGCTGTGCTGAACACTGACCTTGCTTGCGATAAATGTAAAATAACAAAGGGTAAATCTGGGAACACGTCTTATGATGGGAAGAGGAACCCGGATCAAACACCAAATGTGCACCAGCAGGAATGAGCACCAGCCCAGATTTTCCTGGCTGGAACAACTCATGCTCCAGAGTGGAATCCCTTACTTGTTCTTGAAGTCTTCCACCATGTCCTGCATGCTCCGGAGCTCGGAGTCCAGCCGGCCCCTCTCTCCCATCAGGCTGTCGAGCTGCCGCCGGAGGTTGTTGATGTAGGCTTCGAAAATGGGCTCCAGGGACTTCCTGGTGACAGTGTGACCCTGCTCCTGGAGGAGGGTCCACTTGGTCTCCAGCACCTTGTTCTGCTGCTCCAAAAAGCGCACCTGGGGAGAAGCAAAACCAGGGACATGTGTGGAAAAACCTCACAACTGCCAAGAGAAGGTGGGATCACCAACAGAAAAGGTCCAGAGGTGCTGGAACAATCAGAAATAAATTATTAGGAGTGTTCCAGTTTAGGGCATTGGATTCTTAAAAGTATTAGAAGCTTCTGGAGATGCTTAGCAAGATTTTTTCAGGAGTTTTAATCAGGCCAAACACCCGTACTTGCAACTTTAATGTTTCTCCCCCCAGTAGATGTTCAGCCCACCTTACTGGTTTAAACTGGTTGTATCCCATTGTAAAGGAGAAGATTCATCCACCCCAGGATTGTTTATACAGGGAAGAGAAAGAATTACTTTGTCAATAATAAAAAGATGCTGAACAACTCATCCTTGCAAAGAGGAAACATAAAGCAGTTCTTAGTTTTCAGCTAAACCCATGTTGTTTGTTGGCTTGGATCAGTTCAGGCAAGTCCCTAAATCCAAATGAAGTTTCTTCCTGAAGTTTTTTTTCCGAGGCAACTGATAACATGCGTGGCTTGATGGTTCAGACCAAATTCTCACCTTGTCAATGAAGGAGGCAAATTTGTTGTTGAGGGTCTTGATCTGCTCCCTCTCCTGTGTTCGCACCTTCTGGATTTCCGGATCAATATCCAGCTTGAGGGGTGCCAGGAGGCTCTGGTTGACAGTCACTTCATGGATGCCACCAGGTGGGCAAACAGGGAACCCGGGACCACCTCGGCCACCAAATCCGGGCCCTCCTAGCCCAAATCCACTTCCCACCCCATAGCCACCACCACCGGCTCCTCCTAAGCCAAAGCCAGCGCCTGCTCCGCCACCATAGCCAAGACCAAAACTGTATCCGCCCCCGGCTCCACTCCGTAGACCTCCACTGACCGAGCTGTAGGAAATTCTTTTGCTTCCACCCAAGTTATAGAGACTTCTGCTGCCGAAGCCACCACCAGCTCCAAAGCCTCCTCCACCTCCAGCTCTTCCTCCTCCAACTCTGGAGACAGAGACAGAGCTAAAACTGCTTCTGGTCCCACCACCACCACCTCCAACAATAGCAGAGCCTGAGCTAAAGCCCCTCATGCCCCCTCCGGTAGATGATCTGAAAGAGATACGGCTCATGGCTGGTTCAGTTGGGTAGACAAAGAGTAGGAGAGAGGAAAACAAAAAAAGGCTGCGCAGCAGGAAAAGAGCAGAGGGCAATGGAGACAGAAACCCCTGTAATGGGAGAGCTTGGGAGCCTCCTCTTTTATCTGCTTGGAAAACTTGGCACGGGAATTCAGAACTTGACGTGCCTTGCAGCAACTTGCCTTGTCAAACACACCTCGGCTACGGCAAGGCGCTGAAAAATGCATTGTTTGCAGGCAGGAAAGTAACGGCAAGAGGGAGCTCCCCCCTCCACCAAAGCCGCCGCTCTGAGTCATGGAATTAGCATTGAATGGGACGAGGTCTGCACTCCGGGCAGGATGCAACATGATTCCCGAGACCCTGGGAGCCGCTTTCCCTCAGGCGAGCCAAGGATTCGCTGGCTTGAGCAAAGCGAAGATTTTGCAAGTCGCATTTTCAGGTTTAACATGTTGCATAGGCAAGAAAAACAGGGGCTTTTCCAAGATTTCCAATTCTGTGACTGGCCATGCATGTCCTATTGTTGGCTCGGGAAAGTTTGTTCTGAAGGTGTTTTTAATGATCAGTGCTGGTATTGTGCTCTTTTTAAAAAATATTCAAGTTTGATTGATTTTTTTTTTTTTCCTGGATCTAAATCGTCATGGGCTTGAGGAGATGAGCTGAGTGGAAGTTGTGTCATGGCAGTATTTTCTGGGATCTTACCAAAAGCCATCTCCCCTCATTCCAGGGGAAACTTAGGAATTAGTTAACACGATTTTGAAAGACAGCAAATGCCTTTTCCAAAACCACGTCAACATAGATTGAATAGTACTTTCCTTAATAGAGACTTATACTACTAAAAAGCTGCTCAAAATTATTGTGGTTCTGTAGTACCTCCTTGTCAGGCTCCGAGTTCAAAAGCTCTGTCTGAAGTGGTATTTTTATCACTTTTTCTGCCTCCCTCCGCCCCCCCTCTATATTTATCCAACAGTTTCCACGTCATTGCTGGCTCTAAAAGATGTTCTGTGGAGGGGAATTCACCCACTTTCCTTCCCATGCCCCTCCTTCACTCCGCTGAGATCACACACTTGAAAAAAACTTTTAAAAATAGCTTTTGCCTCTTGATGTTGCTTCTGAATGAACCCTTTTGCAGGACTTTCAACCTCCACAATGAGTCTGGGTTGTGTAAAGGCTTCAGAGCTGGGGATCCTTCTCTTGTGTCCATGAAGAGCTGGACACAAGATACTAGAGAAAAAAATCCCCTCATTGCTACTCAAAATATCTCCCCAAATGCTTTCCTGAACTGGATTCTGCCCACTGGCCAGGGCTGCCCACCTTTGTCAGGTTAAGCAATAGTGAAAGACAAAGAGATGAGACCCTGAGCAGCTCAACCAGAAAAATTCCCAAATTCATCTACGTGAGCAAAAAGTGCAGGGGCTCAATCCAAAAGGAGGAGTTTAAACGGATCGGCTGCGTCTCAGAGATTGTTTGTGTTGTTGTGTTTCCAACCGCTGCTTTTTTTCTGTCTGGGAACTTGAAAGAGCCTGAGCAGGAGGGGTTTGGTTGGGCTGGGTCGGGTTTGGTTGGGTTTTGCCTCCCTGCGCTCAGACAAGAGCAGCGCTCCCGTCTCCTCGGAGCGCTCCCGGTTCCACGGTGAGTCACGGCGGGCGCGACCGGAGCCAAAATCGCGCCCGCCACGGGCCGGGCTGTAGCAAGGGGGTGCTCTCGCCCCGGGAGTGGAGATGTGGGCATCTCCTGCTGCGAAAACTTCACTCCTTGCTCCATCCAAACCCAGATTTCACAGCGGCAGCAGCCTCAGCCGTGAGACCTCTGGGAGCTGAAAATCACACAGTGATACTGAAAATAAATAAACTCTGCGCCAGGCATGGCAGATCCATGGACATTTGCTTCCCTATGCCTGCCCATGTGAACTGGCACAGCTGTGGCAGGAGCCTGCGGACGTGGGCCAGGCAGGGAGCTTGCCTTTGACTCCCAAATTGCTTATGCAAAGTCACACCTGGGAACAGGAGCACAGGTTTTAATTAAAGCAGAGGGAAAGGATTCATGTGGAAGGGAATCATTACTTCCCCAGCTCTTCTAGGAAAGCCTGTTGCTGCAGACAATGGCAATTAAGTGGAATATTACAAAGGATTTGGAAAAGCAAAGCAAAGGATGGTTTAGGCACCAAAACAAGGAAAATTTTTTCAGAATCTCTCGGTCCCTCACACTTTTCCTTTCTTGGTTTGTGTCGCTCACATGCAGTGTCCCACTGAAGGTGCTCAGGGCTGCAGGGGAGCCCAGCTGGCCCCTCAGCTGGGACAGTTCCCTGTGGAGAAGCAGGGCATGTCATGGGGGTTGTCTGGGGGGTGAGGGCACTGCAGAGAAAGGGGAGGAGGAACAGGGCTCCTGTCTGCAGGAGCTCAGCTATCTCTGAGCTCTGAGTTGCTCTTTTTTTCTGAAGGGACTGATAAAAAGATGTTAAAGACTCTCCAGGTTGGTTAAGGTTGGGCTGTCATGAGCTGTGTTAAGTCCTCCCACCCAGCCTGTGCAATTTGGCGGGATCAGAAATCGGGGTGACTCAGAGTTTATTTTTAACCTTCACTGTTTTTTTGGCCTGTATGCAACATCCTCTGGACAGCAGAGACTGAGGAGTCTTGGTGGATGACAGGCTGACTGTAAGCCAGCAGTGCTCATGATCAGAAGGAATGGAATTCCCAATGGAATCCTGGGATGCCTTGGGAAAAGCATGGCCAATGAGGGGATCCTGCCCCTCTACTTGGCCCTGGTGGGGCCACGTCTGGAGTGTTGTGTTCTGTTCTGGACTCTACAGTTCCAGAAGGACAAGGAGCTCCTGGAGTGGGTCCAGTGGAAGTCACAAAGGTGATGAGAGGTCTGGAGCATCTCTTTTGATGAGGAGAAATGGGAGGAGCTGGGCATGGTCAGTCAGGAGAAGAGGGGACTGAGAGAGGATCCCAACAATCATAAGAATATCCAAATATCCATTACAATATCTTATCTGAGAGGGTCTCTCATCAATCCACGTGAATATCTCCAAGGGGTGGAAAGAGGATGGTGTCAGACTGTTCAGTGTTGCCCACTGACAGAACAAGGATCCCAGAATCCCTGAGGTGGGAAAAGACCTCTAGGATCATCGAGTCTCATCTGTGCTTGATCCCCACCTCATCACCAGCCCAGAGCACTGCGTGCCACATCCGGTCATTCCCTGGATGCCTGTAGGCATGGCGATTCTACCACCTCCCTGGGCAGGGAGAAATCATGGCCATAACCCAGAACACAAGAAATTCCACCTCAATATGAGGAATAACTTGTTTCCATGGAGGTGGCAGAGTCCTGGAAGAGCTGCCCTGGGAGGGCATGGATTGTCCATCTCTGGAGACATTCCAAGCCCACCTGGACGCCCTCCAGTGTCACCTGCTCCAGGTGTCAGTGCCTTGGCAGGAGCTTGGACTGTATGAGATCCAGAGTGCCCTTCCAACCCCAACTATTCTGGGATTCTGGGACTCTTGAGTCTGGTTTTGTCCCTGGATTTAGTCTTTCACTGAGGCTCCTTCGATTTCCTGGGCAAAGGGGATGGATATTGCTGTGTTTTGGTGCACCTGGGTTTGAGCAAGGTTTTGCTGAAGTGTCTCCTTTCAACTTGCCAGGACATGCTGGCATGTCGGTTCCTGCTCCTTCCCATGCTCCTGCTCCTTCCCAAGTTCTGCCCGGAGTTATGCAGGGCCAGGATGTTGCAAGGTCAGGGCAGAGCAAAACATCTGAACCTTTGAAATTCAATAAGGGCTTTGCAATAACGTTTGGCTGAGGGTTTTTCTCCACTTTTTCTTTGTTTTATTCTTCTTTTACAATGACTGACTGAAATATCTGCATCAGTGCTCCAAAACAAATATCTGTTTTGTGCTCCAGCACCCATCCCCAACCCAGATCTTCCAGATAAATCTTCCCCAAGAGCCCTGCAGACACTTGGGTTGGCTCTGGCTTTTTAAGAAAGCAAAAATTGAATCCAGAGGTTTTGCCTGGCTGTCCCAAACCCTCCCTCCCATGGAAGAAAATATTTTGGATTAACCCAATTAAGTTAAGAAATGAATGGCGATTAATTATCTTGTCACTTAAGGATAAACCTCCACCCTCCTTCTCTTCCTCCTCTTCCTCCTCCAGTTTTCTCCAATTCTTCAATTTATTTTGGGACAACCAATTTCAAGATTTTCATTCTAATTTAATCAGAATTTCAAAGCTTTTCCCTGGAAGTAAAGAAAATACACCTCCAGCTCATTCTGAGGAAGGATAAAAATATTTTGTATTGCTGGTTCTGGTTTAGAATAGAAAGATAAATAAAAATAACAGATAAATTACCATCTGTTTTTATTGGACATATTCCAAATGCAGAGAGGAAGGGAAACATGGAGTGGCATCAGTATTACGGAAGTATAAAAAGATGAAATTTTCCTTTTTAATATTGCTTTCCGAAAATAAAAAGACACAGTGGAAGGATAGAGGGGTAAATTCCACCAGAAAAGGGGAAAATAGATTTGGGATGCTGGAGTTGCTTTGGGATCCTGCTCTTGACTGCCTTGTTTCCTACACACTGGGCTGGAACCTGCTGCACTTCCCAGTTTCCCAGTGGTCTTTCTTTTGGCAGAGGAACCCACACAGAGAGGAGATGCTGGAATTCCCCCAGGAGCTCTGGACATGGCCCTTCAGGCAGCTCTTCCAGCATGATTTTTGCAGTCTCAGACTTTCCCCACTTTCTGCGACCAAGGCCATGGGGAAAGACAGCAGGACTTGGATTGCTGGAGGATTTGGGAAGTTTTGAAGACATTCCAGCAAAACCTTGTATGGAACAGGACAGAAACCCCATTTAACAGCAAGCATTGATCCTGCTTTTGAAGGACTCGTGTCAGACATTATTTAGAATTTTAAAATCCTATAATTTAGAAAACAAGCCCTTCTTCATAGGTTTTGGATCAATCACTGGTGAATCCTCTGACAAAAACCACCCCCGAAGTTTACGTGTAAGGGCCACTGTGAGCAAGGTTATTTAGGAAGAGAAAGGACAGGAATGGGACAGTGATTTGGGAAAAGCTTTTTGATGAGCTCGTGGCACACAGAATTCTCATCTGTGGGTGGAGGGATCTCAGGTTGCTGCTCGAACATTAATGCTCCAAATCCCTGGTCAGGCTCACATGCCTGAGTTAACTCAGCAGCAAAACTTGGCAATATGTGGAAGAATCATATCTTTCAAAACTTGGCTGTGAATGGAGGAAAGAGGGATTTTCCATCTCAGCAGAGTGACTCAGAATGAATAAAATTTTAAGAGGGACATTACAAGCTACTGCCTGGGATCTTTGAGTAGCCTCCAGGGGTTTTTCTAGACAGCAGAAAAATAACCCACACCTCTGATGCTGATGAGCTTCTCTTGTGAAGGGGCGAGGTGGGCTCTTTCCAGCAGTGAAGGCAAAGCAGGGTGAGCTAAACACATATTCCCAGCCCATCCCTGGACTTCTGGGATGAAGAAACCAGAATTGAGCTAAAACTTCCCCTGCTATTTGCTCTGTTTTAGCTGATGGCTGTGGGTGGCCACAATCACAAACTGCTTGGCCTTATTAAAAACAAATGGAAAACCAAACCAATTCCCCATTCAGAACAATCACTTAGGCTGGTGTTTTCCTTTAACTCCTGTTACAGGGACTTGGAGAGCTCTGGTTGCTGTGTGTTCCACTGCTTTTCTTGACCTGAGATCCAAATGCATGAGAACTACAGAGCAGGAGCAGGGCAGGGGCAGCTGGAATGGTGGAGGTGGGGGAGAATGGTGGGCAGGAGGAACAGAGGAGGGTCTGGGCTTGGCTTTACTCGGGCTCTGTGGCATTCTTCAGGCTTTGGCTTTTTATGCTCTTTTTGCTGGAGGAGGTTTTGGAGACAATTTTCACACCTGGGTTGGTGCCTTTTGCACTTCCAGAGCTGAAATTCCCTCCGCTGGTGCTCAGGGTGCTGCTGCCGCCTCCGGCATGGCTGTAGCTGCCAGCAGTGCCCAGACCACTCCCTCCTCCAAATCCACCTCCAAGACCACCTCCAGCCCCGAGTCCAAGTCCTCCTCCGCTTCCAAAACTGTAGCTTCCTCCTCCTCCACCGCCAGCTCCAAGACCGAAACTGCTCCCACCTCCTCCTCCAAGGCCAAAACCATTTCCAACACCTCCTCCAAGGCCAAAACCACTTCCGCCGCCTCCTCCACTCAGGCTCAGTCCACCAAATCCTCCTCCTAAACCAGCTCCACCAGCAATGCTGGAGCCAGAGCTGATGACTGCTGCAAGGAAAAGCAACCAGAAGGTTGGACATCTGCTTGGCAGCCATGGAATCATGGGATGGGCTGGGCTGGAAGGGGCCATAAGAGTCATCCCCATCCCTGCCCCTGCCATGGGCAGGGACTCCTTTCATTATCCCAGGTTTCTCCACACCCCGTCCAACCTGGCCTTGGACATTTCCAGGGAAGGGACAGCTACAGCTGCTCTGGGGAGTCACCCAGTTCCAGGAAGCGCCATCATCAGGACCCTGTCCCACAGGACTTGAACCCAACTTCCATCCCCTGTGCAAGCCCGTAAAGACAGTGGAGGGCTCCAGAAGTCTTATGTGGGGCAAAACTTCACTTTTCCCAGGGTTTCCCCCAGGCCTTGCTACCAAAGCCAGACTTGGGATCCAGAACTATGATACTTACAGTAGCTGATGGGGTTCAGTCCCTCCCCACTGAGCCTGTTGGGGGATTAGAGAAGATAAGAGCAAAATTACAGAGACAGTCAGAGGAATCAAACTCTGATGGGAAAAATGATAGTCACTACTATCCCCACAAAAATTTTGCTCCCACCTGCTCTCCTCTCCCTCCAGCAGCTTCCTGTAGGTCGCAATCTCGATGTCCAGGGCCAGTTTGACGTTCATGAGCTCCTGGTATTCCCGGAGCTGCCGGGCCATGTCAGCCTTGGCTTTCTGTAGGGCGTCTTCCAGGTCAATCATCTTTGCCTTGGCGTCCTTGAGGGCCAACTCCCCGCGCTCCTCAGAGTCTCCGATGGCCGTCTGCAAGGTGGCACACTGCAAGGGATGGGGGGGGCTTGGAAAGCTGCTCTTCCCTTTGGGTGAGAGTCACCCAAGAAAAAAACACATTCTGGCTGGGATGTTGATGGAAAATGTTCCAGCTGAGCTAACACGGCTGGAGTTGAAATGCCAGACTGACAAGAATGACTTAATAGTTAAATTTTACAGTGTGAAGCCCTTTCCAGGAGGGAATTCAACACCTTTAATGAGGCTGGAAAAGTCACTGATGGGCAAAGTTGAGCTGTGGTGTTGAGGGACAACAGAACAGGGCTCCGTTGGCTCCTTTTGCAATTCCTACCTGGTTCCTTGTGTTCTCTATCTCAGAACGGATCCTCTGGATGAGCCGGTTGAGCTCTGAGATTTCACCCTTCGTGTTGCGCAGGTCATCACCATGTTTCCCAGCCGTGGCCTGCAGCTCCTCAAACTGAGGTGAGAAGGAAGATGTAACCTGAACCATCTGAGGTGTCTGGCTGGATGAGACATGGCTCAAACAGACCCTCTTAGGGGCAGCAGGAATTCTGTGTGGCAATGATAGGTCAGCTCACCTTGGTTTGGTACCAAGCCTCGGCCTCGGCACGGCTCCGGTTGGCGATGTCCTCATACTGAGCTTTGACTTCAGCAATGATGCTGCTCAGGTCCAGGTCCCGGTTGTTGTCCATGGACAGGATGACGGCGGTGTCAGACACTTGGGCGCTGAGCTGGGCCAGCTCCTGTGGGAAGCACACGGGAGCTGCACTTACCTCTCCCAACCCTCAGAGTGGTGGCATTCCCCAGCCAAGGACAACGGCAGGACAGGAATAGGGGATTTGTCTGTACCGCCTCATAGAGGGCTCGGAGGAAGTTGAGTTCATCACTCAGGGCGTCCACCTTGGCCTCCAGCTCCACCTTGTTCATGTAAGCAGCATCCACGTCCTGGAAAAGAGCAGCTGTGGGGACACCTGTGGCACCTGAATCCTCTTCTCAGCCAGGAAGAAGTTCCTTGGCACAGCCAAAAAACAGCCAAGCCTGGATACAAGGCTGCCCCTTTCCCTGTTGCCTGGTAGAGAATCTGTGCTTGGCACATCCCACTGGATGAGCACCAAGACGGCATCTCTTGCCTCAGAAAAGTTCTGTGTGTAATTTGGAAGTGGATAAGGAGGGAAGTCCTAGCTCTTTGGCCTTGGTACCTGGGATTCCCAAGCATCACTGACCCCCTTTGTCTCTACATGGTCTCTTTAGCACCTGTATGTGTTGTGGGACTGGACTGGGAGGAGATTTTGCTTCCTTCCTACAAGCCACTCATTTCCCGCAATACCATGATCAAATAGTGATTTAAAGCTCTTCTAAAGGATGAGGATGCAGTTCCATAAGATCTCCCATCCCTCAGGATATTCCCAGTATGTGCAATGGTTGGAGTTGGCTCAGCATCTGCAGCACCTCCTGTCTCACCCACCTTCTTGAGCACCACAAATTCGTTCTCTGCCGCTGTGCGCCGGTTGATTTCCTCTTCATATCTACAGGGATAAAGGGAAAGAGGTGCTGGATCAGACCTTGGGAAGAAGAACAGGTGTCCAGGTAGGACTGCAAAGTGATCTGAACTGGGGGTGGCATGTCCAAATCAACCTCCTGGGAACTGTCCAGCTCAAATGTGTGAGATTCCTCTTTCTCAAAAGGCAGAAAGGACATTTTTGACTTAACACAGATGGAACAAGAAAGGTACAGCTGGTTTAGAGGATTTTCCTTTGCAAGAGCCATCACAAGGTGCTGTGTCCTGGCTGAATCTCCATTTTTTGATGGGAAAAATGTCGATGGACCCTTTTTGGTGCTGTTGAGGAAAATGGGTCCTGAAGGGAGAGATACCTCTGAGTAGGGGTTATTGGAGGTGATTAGTGATGTTCTGTGTTACGGATTGGAGCACAAACTGGAGACACTTTTTTCCCTTTCCTAGAGAAATTTCCATTAATACTTCAGTCTTGATGCTTGAGTTTCAGAAACTGAAATTTTTTACATGAATCATAGAATCATGGATTTACAGAATCATAGAACCGTAGAATCATAGAATTATAGAATGACAGAATCATAGAATTACAGAATTGCAGAATCACGGATTCAGCTGAGTTGGAAGGGACCCATAAGGATCCTTGAGTCCAACTCCTGGCCCTGCACAGGACACGCCACCAATCCCACCCTGTGCCTGAGAGCATTGTCCAAACACTCCTGGAGCTCTGGTAGCCATGGGATGGTGACCATTCCCTGGGGAGCCTGGGCACTGCCTGACCATTCTCTGGGTGAAAACTCCTGCTGCTTAATGTTCAGCTGAACCATTTACACATCATTTCACACTCACTTGTTTTTGAAGTCCTCCACAAGGTCCTGCATGTTCTTCAGCTCCCCATCCATGCGTCCCCGCTCATTGAGCAGGTTGGCCAACTGTCGCCGCAGGTTGTTGATGTAGGCCTCGAAGAGCGGGTCCAGGTTGCTCTTGCCAGAATTGTTTTTTTGGCCCTGCTCCTGCAGAAGGGTCCATTTGGTCTCCAGCACCTTGTTCTGCTGCTCCAGGAAGCGAACCTGAGCATTGGGAAGCAGAAGATAAGATAGAAGACATCTTAGGCAGAAGATACCTGTGAGCTGACAGCCAATATTCAACACTGGCAGTGATGCATGGCAGGAGCCAAGGGATTCCCGAACTAAGAGTTTCCAAGCTGGGAATATCCTCTGGATTACCCAGGACTATGTTTAGCCCAACCTGTAGCTGAGCAAATCCACCCTCATTGGACAGTTCTCTTCAGAGGCAATTTGATTTAGGAAGCCAATGAGGAATAGTAAGAAAATTTGGGTTCAGCTCTTTCTTCACCAGACAGTGAAGCTCTTCTTTCACACCCTCTGGGGTTTCTTTCTTTGTAAGATATCTATCTTCCTTCATTAAAGCCAAGGTCTGAGTGCTAATGCTAAATGGCTTAATTGTCTTTCTTTTTGCTCACACAACAACATATTTATCCAATTAAAAGCTGAGGAAGGACTTGAGTGGCTGAATCAAATGAGTCAATATAAAAAGGATTATCTTGCAGACAATAAACAACAAAGACCAAGACATCTGCTGTGATTGCCCAGAGACAGAATTGTGTTGAGCCACTAGACCTGGACCCAAAACTTATTTACTCCATTTCAACTAATCTGTGTTACTTCTCAGGCACAAAACCTGGATCTAATCCCATTACTACAATTTTATTGTCTTGTTTTCTCCCCTCTAAATGTTCAGAAATACGTTATTGTTTGAGGGAGTTAATGAAGACATGCAGGGATGAAATGAGTGAAAGACCAGAGATCTCTGAAGTCGTATTTTAGTACCTAGTAGATCCTCACTCCCCCTCAACCACAGATCCACAGCACCCAATGAAACCTCACCTTGTCAATGAAAGAAGCAAACTTGTTGTTGAGGGTCTTGATTTGCTCCTTCTCATCTTTCCGCACCTGTTGGATGTTTGGATCTATCTCCAGGTTCAGCGGTGCCAGAAGACTCTGGTTTACGGTCACTTCTTGGATTGTACCCACTCCAGATGGGCCACCAGAAAATCCCGCAGGGCTCCTGCCACCACCCAACCCCACAGGGAATCCTCCCAGCGCCCCCAGTCCACCAGGGCCAAACCCTCCACCACCTCCATAACCACCACCATAGCCAAGCCCACCAGCACCTCCACCCAAGCCAGATCCACCACCTCCAGCACCAAGCCCCAGCCCAAGCCCACCACCAGCTCCACCACTGCCAAGCCCCCAGCCACCCACTCCGCCACCACCTCCCAGGCCAGAGCCACCAGCAGCTCCACTTCCAAAAGCAGCTCGGAAGCTGCTTCCAACCCCGATGGAAATCCTCTTGCTACCACCAAGGTTGTAGAGGCTCCTGCTGCCAAAACCTCCACCACCACCAGAACTGCCACCACCACCTCCTCCAATGAGCCTCCCAAAGCCACCTCCTCCTCCTCCTGATCGTGCCACAGACACAGAGCTAAAGCCAGCCCTGTTGCTGCTTGGAATTATGGCCGAGGCTGCACTGTAGGATCGGCCTCCACCTCCTGCCCTCATGCTGAGCGTCCGGTTCATCGTGGCAGCACAGAAGGGCCCCACACAGCCAGAGAGACTCTGCAGCTCTCTGAGGAAAGGGAATACGGGTGCCCCTTTTATCCCCCACGGATCTGGGCTTGGTTTCATGGAAGTCCAGTGATCAACTTAGTGCCTTCATGGTTTTGACATGCCAGGAGGCAGCTGTCTCCCCGAGACTTGTTAAACCCTGATTCCACCCGAACACACCTCCTGGAGCTGGATCTGCTCAGATGGAAGAGTTATCTAACACTCAGATTTCTGGCAGGGAGAGCTCAGCCTGGTGCAAAACCTCTATCTCCTTGCAGAGATGGGTTACTTTATTTTGTATAATTTTTCCTAACCCTGCAAGTGTCCAAGGCCAGGTTGTGAGGGGCTTGGAGCCACCTGGGTTAATGCAAGGTGTCCCTGTGAGGGGTGGGTATGGAATGAGATGGTCTTTGAGATTCCTTCCAACCGAAACCATTCTGGGATTCCATGATTCTATAATTTCCTTACTGTGAAAGAAAATAATTTTTAAATGTTATAAAGCCAGAAATAATGTCTTGGATTCCAAATTCTACTGAATAGATGCAGCACACCAACACAGAGATCAGTGGAGAGGCTTCTGAACTAACTCAAGTGAAAGACAGTGAGAACAAAATGGTTAAATCTGAACAAAAATAATTCATGGAGTTTCTTCACCTGAAGGCAGAAGGCAGCTTGATGTTGATGAAACCTGAAATCCCTTTTGGGGCTGTAATTTATCCAGTTTGCTGTTCCTACTCCCTGGGCAGGGACCATCTCTTCAGGATAACTAGACAAAGAGGTCCTGATCAAGTTTTCCTCTTTCTTCTTTCCAGATGTAAATACCACCTCAGATTTTGCCCATTTATATTAATTATTTAACCTATGGCAGACTTTCTAGGCTTTCCCTCTTGATATTGGCTTTTCCAGAGGACAACTCCATTCCACACAGAGGCTGTGTTGTGATTTCTCCAGCTAGTTGATGATGTGATTGACTCATTTTCACCTTGACCTAAAAACCATTTCAAAGAGGCAGATTTTCTGAAAAACACTCTGCCCAGCTCTGTGGAACGATGTCATTTGCCCACTTTAGGATGTAGTCAGTCCTGAGTTTCTGGCTCTCTAGCTGTGATTTCTTTTAAAGACCTTTGAACCTTCCACCCAAAATGCTTCCAAAAGCAGATTTAACCAGCATGAAAAATACTCCCACAAATTCTCCTTACTTTACTTTCTGAAGTCCTTGGGAAAAAAAGATAAATTCAACAGGGTGTGGTGGCATTTTCTGGCATCTCAGACTTTGTGGAACTGCAGTGCTGAGAGTATTTTATCCCTTGCATGTCAAAGCTCAGCTGGTTTTTGGCATGGGGCTGCCCTGGTGGCTTTGCCTGAATTCCGCAGGACTGCAGCTTAAATATATTTACAGGACAGGACTCTACTTGCCTTTCAAAACACATCTCTGTTCCCCAGAGCTGCAAAACCATTAAGGAGCTAAAATCCCACTGGCATCTCTGGAAGAACACTTAAACAGGTGCTACTGAATACAGATGACCAAATATCTGATTATCCCTGGAAAAAAATGCTGCTGGGCAGGCTCGAATGGGAGAGCTGGGGCACTGAAAGAGAATTTCCCTTTGCAGTGAGAAATTATTCCAAGATGGCGCAGACAGTGCAGGTCAGCTTGTTTCTTTTTGGAAAATGTGGGTCTGAACCTGGAATGTCACTTTAAATTCATGAGCATCCATTGCCTCGGTGATTTGCATAAAATTCAAAGCCAGGGTGTGATGGGAAAATGAGATTTTTTTTTTCTTCATGGTTCCTTGACCCCAGTAAAGGCAGCTTGTCCTGAAGCTGAAGAACGGGTTCAGATCAGATGTTAGAGCTGAGTGACTGTAATGGGATTAAAGGTGGGGCTGCCAAGAAGAAAGAGGGAATTGTCACTTCAGGCTCCCACACTCTTCTCCGCTCGGCTCGTTATCCACAGGGTATGTGAGCAATTCGAAGGCCACCTGAAAAATGCTCCCTTTCCTTCCTGGGGTGGTTGGTGGTGTGGAGATGAGGCTTGGGGCTCCAAACCCAGAGGTAGATGTGGCATTTTCATGTCTGTTTGGATCAACTCTGCCAGGCTCTGGGCTCAAGCTGAAAGAGGGAAAGTTGAAGTTAAATATATGGAAGAAATTCCTCCTGTGATGGTGAGGAGACCCTGCAGTGGATTTCCTGGAGCAGCTGTGGCTGCCCCATCCCTCAAAGGGTCCAAGGCCAGGCTGAATGGCACTTGGAGCAACCTGGGATAGTGGAAGTTGCCCCTGGCCATGGCAGGGGGTGGAATGAGGCAGTTTATAAGATCCCTTCTAATCCAATCATTCTGTGAATCCATAGGTTTAGACTCTATCAATTCACAAAAGGGTCTGTCCAGATTGACACTGTGCAGGATTTGACCTCCATCTTCCCCAAACCCACATTCCTAGCTTTTTTTCTCTCCAAAATACCCTGATCTACATGAACATCTTCAAGCAGGCAGCAGAAAACATGGCTTTTGCAATAGCTGGGAGTTGAGGACAGGGATGATTAAAGGTTTTTTCCCAGAAATACAAGAGCTGCCAGACTACTTTTGCCCCCTGGGGAGCTGGCTGGTGTTTGGTGTTCAGGTATTGCTTTGCAGGGAGATGATCAACATAAATTATGAGCTGTTGGGGCACTGGAAGCTTCTTGTTTTGGGTGTTTCTGCTTGGTATTTACATAGAAATGAGATGGAGCCTGAGTCGTGTTCATGGAGCAGAAAAGATGAAGACACCATTTCCAAAAACATCTTTAGCAGAGTAAGTTGTGCTTTCCCACCAAGGGCTGACCCACTTGGCTTCCACCACTCCCCAGCCAACTGTGGCATTTATTAAAATAGAATTAGTGCTCTACTCCCCATTGATCACATCCAATATACCATAAGGGGAGCTAAAATGCTAGATGCTGGGAGAGAAGCAGAGGTCAGAACTCATCTCATGACAGGTTCATCCCCATCCCACCAGCAAGGACAGACTGAGTGTGGTGTGGCGGCTGACCTCATCCTCCAGCCTGGGAGAGGTCCAAGGAAAGAAGCCATGATTCAGCAGGGAAGTCTTGGAAGCAGAGCAGGACATGGGGGATTAAATTCCAGGCCCTGGTTCTTGGTGAGCCTTTCATGGGCACAAGAACCTGCCCACACTCTGTGCTGCTCCAGGCTGGACACAGGGATTTCTCCAAGGGTGATGCAGAGCTGGCTCAGGGGCCTTTGGCTATACCATGGGGAGCTGTGGGAAGGGAGGGGCTGCAGGGCTGGTTTGTGTCCCTGTGATTCCAGCTGTCCATCCAGCTGGGCTGAGTTGTCACCATGGCAAGATCCTCCCAGCCAAGTTATAGAGACCCATCAGGGGGTCACTGTCCAGGGAAGTTGAGAGCCCTGCAGAAGTCCAGGAGTGTTGGGACAACACTCAAGCATCCAATGGGATTTTTGTGGTTTCCTGTGAAGGGCCAGGACTGGAATTCAATGATCCTTGTGAGTCCCTTCCCACCCAGGATATTCCATAATTCTACGAACCTCAGAGAGAAAAAGGAGAGGCCAATATAATTTCTCCTAAATCCCAGTGTCCTAAAATTGTGGGAGAGGGTTTTTCCTCCCTGGAAGGGATAATGGAGCGGCACATCTAGCCACATCTCCAGACCCTGCTCTTTGTGTGAGTTCACATATTTTAAGGAAGGTGGTGGTTGAGGAAGAAGCCCCTGGTGCCACATTTTGGGAAACTGCACTTTGCTCTTACTTTCTTGTAAAATCAACCCACTCTCATGAGAGGGTTTCACAGGTGTGGTGTGGGATTATTTTTCTGTTCCTCCCTGAGCTGGTTCTCACTGATTTCCTTAAACAAAGGCCTGCCTTTTTGTTCCATCTCCAGAAATGCCAGACACTGTGAGAGATCCCAAGAAAACTGCATACCCACGGATGCTTAAATAGCCTCCTTTCCAGACTTCCCTGTGGCCACACTAATCAGTGGATGGAATAAAGGTATGCAAAGGTGCTTCAGGAAGGAGAGCAGACAAAACTTTCTTGAAGCTCCAAACTCCACCCATTTGGAGACTCAGGTTTGAGGAAATTTCTATGATTTGCAATATCAGGGAGGGAAATAAAGCCCAGGCAGTGCAGCATGAATTATGCATGGAGTTTATTGAAGGTACAGCTGAAAGTCTGGAGTAAGCGAAGGGTAATAACTCTGTTCACTTACACATGAAAAGCTTTAACTCCGTCTATTGCACACAGGAAAAACAACACATGCATTAAACTACAGAAATATAAGGTGCTCATTGGGGTGTAATTAAAATCTGCTCTACCAAAACACAGTGTAGCAACCTGGACCAATTTACATAAGCATTCCCAGCCCTCTTGTAAACAGGAAAAATTGGATTTTCTGCTGTCATCAAAGAAGTTAAATTACAGCTGCAGCTTTGTTTCGGACAATTAAATTGTGGTTTCTCTCTCTGAAGTTGGGATGACCAAATTTTTCATCCTTTTGCAATAGCTGCATTAGGAGTCTCTGCTGGAAAGGGGTCAAGCAGGGAAGGGTGACTGAAAAGCCAGGATGAGTGGAGACAGGAATGGTCTCTGAAATTAAAATCTCATCTGGCTCAGTGGGGGGGGGGGGGGGGAGTTTCCCCCAAGAACGACACCAGGGAGAGGGCGGGTTTTTTCAGGCTAAGGGTTTAGGCAGAGCGATGTCCTAGCGCATGGCTGTGTGATCCCTGTGGCTGTCCGAGGGAGGGGAAATACTGTTTCATTGCAGAAATGCTGATTATTACAAACTCTGCCGTGTCGGGCCCCGCCGGTCTCTACCGGGTCGTCCTGACCACGCGCACGGCTGTGCTGAACCTGTTCCCGCAGACCCCCGGGGGCCCGGGGATGAGCACGGGCCCGGGGCCGCACGGCTCCACCCCCGCGCACACCACGCTGCCCAGGTTGCCCAGGTTGCCCAGGTTGCCCAGGTTGCCCAGGTTGCCCATACCGGCGGCGCACTGGACTCCGTCCACCCCGGTGAGCACTTCCCTCCCCACGCAGCTGACCGCGCTCCTGGCCCCGAACCCTGCCCCGACCTTGGGGACACAATCCACGCTGCGGGCGCTGAACCCGGCGTTGCCGAAGGACGAGACCATGCCCAGCCCCGCGCCGGCCCCTCCGCTCTTCACGGTGCATTTGCCTCCGATTCCGGACAGGGATCGGCACTCCCCCACCGTGCCCCCGCCGCTGACCACGGCTGCGGGAGAAAAACAGGCTCGGTCACCCCCAGAGAGCGAAAACCCGGCTTAAAAGGAGAGTTACAAGCTTTAAAAGCTTGTAAGGAAATCAGGGCGGGGTTCATGAACTCACCTACGCTCACAGGGTTGCCGGTGCATATCCTGCCAAGGAAAGAAACGTCTCAGAGATATATTTAGGGACATATTCCTCAAATTCACAGGCAAATAGAGCCCAGCCACTGCCTCCTTAGAAACCTTTCATGTCCTTCGGCTCTTTAGGTGCACCCTGCTGAGAGGTGCTTTTTCACATTGCCCACCAAAGCACTGCAGGGTTGGATCCCTAATTTCACGGTCATACTAATGTTCCATCCTCTTTTTGGATGAGAACGTGATCCCCTCTGCACCCAGTGGGAGGGAAAAAAGGGACCCCACTCCCCTCTGCAGCCCTGGGTGCAGCCTTTCTTTCTCCTCCCATTGTCTTTTGCTGATCATCCTCACAAGGTGCATCCAGGGCTGCTCCTACCTGCTCTCTTCTCCCTCCAGCAGCGTCCTGTATGTGGCAATCTCAATGTCCAGGGCCAGCTTGACATTGAGCAGCTCCTGGTAGTCCCTGAGCAGACAGGCCATCTTGTCCTTGGCCTGCTGCAGAGCTGTCTGCAGGTCCACCAGCTTCTGCCTGGCATCCTTGAGGGCGCAGTCTCCTCGTTGCTCAGCATCGCAGATGGCTGTCTGCAGGGCTGAGATCTGGGGACAGCCACAGGAGGACATTCCCACAAAGCTTCAGTCAAGTCAGGTAAAGCCCATCCAGTCCCATCTCCTGCCGTGGGCAGGGACACCTTCCACTAGCCCAGGCTGCTCCAACCACATTCAACCAGGCCTTGGACACTTCCAGGCACAATTCCTCGGGGCAAGAGGGCAGCCAAGGGTGATATTAAGGGGTATCTCCACAGCATTGCTCATATATTTCTCAGTCAGGAAGTGCCAGAGAGCCAAGATTTAGGCTGGATTTGTGGTAGCCAAGCTATTTGGGATGAAGGGGATGGGATCAGTTGGCTGCAACCTGGTGAGATGTTGGCTGTAACCTGGTGGGAGCCCACAGCAAACACTTATTCTGATACCACCAAACCAACACACTTATTTGCAAAGTGAGAAATAAATCTCCTTTTTTTGTGTGCATGAAGAGCAGATGAGAAGTTAAAATAGACCTAATCTGGGGCAGGGGGTTCTTTGCAGCTCCACAGGGTGGGAACTGGTAGGACAATGCCCTTTGATGGAGGAGCTGCACTCCCAGGTGGATCCATCCCTTGGTCCTACCTGTTTCTTCACGTTGTCTGACTCACACTGCAGCTTCTGGATCATCCTGTTGAGCTCAGCAATCTCACTCTGGTTGTTCCTCAGGTCATCACAGAACTTGCCCCGGCTGCTGTGGAGCTCCTCCAGCTGTTGCACAGGAAGAGGATGATGTCAATGCACCCAAATCCCCCTCCCCAGGGCCCCTGCCTTCCCGGGAAGATGGAAATCTCTGCAGCTGCACCAGGGTCAGTGTCCCCAGGACACCACCCAGACATGGCCTCAGACTGGGTAAGGTGAGAGTCTCAGGGGAGTCCTGGACTTGCTGATCTTGGAGGTCTTTTCAGCCTTAGGGTTCTATGATTTTCCCTTTGGGAAGTAATGATGCTCCTCAGAGTGCACAAAGGGGACATCTCTGAACATTCTGATCTGCTCTGCTTGTACTGAAATGTCTCAAACCACACTTCTAAGGTTGGTTTGTGTTTGGGGTTTTTTTTTGGTACGACTTTCTTAAGCAAACTGAAGCTAATACACAGTGTGAGATGGGTTAAAGTTGCATTATGGAGGATGGGAATGGTCTCAGAAATAGTCTGTCAAGGAAATTCATAGAATACTCACCCTGGTTTGGTAGAAAGCCTCCACCTCAGCCTTGCTCTTCTGGGCAATCTCCTCGTAGCAGCACTCCACGCTTTTGATGATGCCTTCCATGTCCAGGTCCCGGCTGTTGTCCATTTGCACGATGACAGAGGTGTCACACAGCTGACAGTCCAGCTGAGCCCTCTCCTGCAGGACCAGAGCATCAGTTCCATTCCCTCAACCAGCCCAGCCACGCCAGCAGCAACCCCAGCAAGGGGCATCTGGTTGCAGGAGGTTCTCCCCTGAACTCCCAACACGGGTTTTTCCGGTTGGGCAACTGGTGTCCAGCAAGACCTGGCAGCTGGGACTTGTTTTGGTGGCACATCATGGGATGGCTGGATGCAGTTCCCTAAGGAAGGGTGGGGAATCTGGTGAAGAAAGCCACTTCTGCATTTCTGGCTGTGCCAGTGCTCTCCTGGATTGGGAATCCTCACGTTCTTTGAGCCCCACTGACCCCTGCTCAGGGGGTTTAGCTCAAGAAGTGTCAATGCAAAGTGTCTCCAGTGTGTTTTGTTAAAAACTTGCAGAATTTTAGACAGAAGTGTTATTCTCATAAAAAACGTTTTGACCAATGTAAAAAAAAAAAAAAAAAAAAAAAAAAAAAAAAAAAAAAAAAAAAAAAAAAAAAAAAAAAAAAAAAAAAAAAAAAACCACCAACCACAAAAAAAAAAAAAAAAACTAAAACAAAAACAAAAAGTGCTAGAAACATTTGGCCAACCCAGGGATGATTTGGATTAGAATGTGAGAGGTTTTCAGGCAAAAGATTATTCCCCTTATGGGCAGCAATGTAGCAACCAAGACACTCTTCACCTTCCAAACTAGGTGTGACAGCATTGTTATCAAATACATCTAAAAGGCATACAGTTTTGGGCTACAATTCCAGGATTTTCAGAAAAGACACCTTTCCCTGCACTCTTGGTGTAAGACTCAGTGGGAAGGGCAGGAGATGGTGCCTCACCCCAGGGAGCAGATTGAACCAGGAGCTCTTACCTCAGCGTAGATGCACTTCAGGAACTCCAGCTGCTGCCGCAGGAGACCCACCCTCACCTCCAGCTCCTCCTTGGTCAGGTAGAGACAATCCACATCCTGGAGAGATACCAGGAACTTGGTGAAAAGAGGTGAAGGAACAACTGTGGCAAATCCTAGGTTTCCTTTAGATTAGGAAAAACCCCTACTCTTTCCAGTACTTAGCACTATGTGGGTTTCAGCTTCATGAGCTACAAACCTCAGAGGCCTTCCAGATTCCTTGGGTTGCCTCATATTTGGGGCATCACGCTGTGCCATGGTGCCAGGACCCCCCACTTCTCCCATTGACCCCACGCCCAGGGTTTGCCCACCCTTATCTGGCCCTGACTCACTTTCTTGAGCACCACAAATTCATTCTCCGCTGCCGTGCGCTTGTTGATCTCATCTTCATACCTGCAGGAAAGCAGAGCAGGGAGCTGCTTAGCCCTGGGGATCCCATCTCCATCACCCAACCATCCAGTGCAGACCGTGGGAAATGAGATTTCATGTTACACCTCATTTTTTATCATTATTTTTCTTTGTTGCTGTTTCTTACCCCCTCACTGATTTTACTCAGCAGTTTTAGCCATGCCAGTGGTTTGGGTGGCTGGAATCAGAGGACAGAAAAATATCTGGCCAAACCACCAGAAATGCAAAGCTGGAGGCTTGGGCTGCTGCTTCCAGCCCTTCTGCTTTGTGAGATGTTTTTCCAGAGCATCCAGGACTGTGCTCAAAGTGTTTATGGGGAGACTGGCCAAAATGCCTCAGGGGAAGTTCAGGAGCTTGAGCAATCTGTGAAACTCCAGGGTGCAGTGGGGAGCACAGTCAGGGCATAATGAATTAGTAAGTGAGACCTGCAAGAACTTTCACAAGATGATGATTCTGTGAGTTGGACCTGCTCGATGGTGGCTCAGCCAGAAAAAACACCTGAAATTATGAACTCTGTAGAAAGATGATCCAGTGACCTGGTTTGTGGCTTAGCAGAGCATATGGGGAGATATTAAGGAGTATCTACATCTTAGATTAAAAATAAATTAATTTTCACATTCCCTCTGGGGAGAATGAATCCTAGCATGATATGGGCAAAGAGTGGGGTGGAGAAAATTGGCTGAGGGTTTTTGTTTGTTTTGTGGAAATGGATGGCACTGGGGAAATCACAGGCACAGATGGTGGGGGAGATTTGATATGGCAAGCCACAGGGGTGTGCAGGAGGCAGAGGAAGAGTGGTTTCCTGCTCTGTAAGGAAGCTGGGCTTCAAAACATCTCCCAGTTCATCTCCAGTGCAGCGCTGGATGCCCAGTGCAGGAAATTCACCCAGTACTGCGATGCCTTGCCCTGTGCCCCAGTTTGTTGATCCATCCAGTGGAACTTCCTTAGATTCATACTCAGGGACACCACCCAGGCCAGCAACATCCGCGCCTGCAACTTCCCTCTGTGTGACTTACTTGCACTTGAACTCCTGCACCAGGTCCCGCAGGCACCGCTCCTCATTCTCCAGCCGCTCACGCTCCCCCATCACACACTCCAGCTGCTTCCTCAGGTTGCAGATGAAGTTCTCAAACACAGGCTCCAAGTTTCTCCTGGATGCTGGGAGCACATACTGCTGCAGCAGCTCCCACTTGGTGGTCAGCACCTTGTTTTGCTGCTCCAGCAGCCGCACCTGGGCAGGGAAGAGATGGGAGAATCAGGCTCTCCTGTCCCAGGGTTTCTGTACTTCCCAAAGGGAAAAGTGAAAATCAAATCAGAATTGCAAATGGTCAGATGCTGCTTTCTCAGGGGGTTGAGTGGAACCAGCATCTTCTCTGAGCTAAACTGGTCCCACCCAGGTCTCGAATCTCAGGCTGAGCAACATCAGTGCCTTCACTCTGTGCTGAGGCCAAGCCCGGGCTCAGCCAGACACCTCCACTCCTCCCCCAGAACTGGATCCTCCTGATGGGCCCAGGGCACTAACAAGTCTTTCTCAGCACTAAAACTCCATCCAGGACCTCATTTGGATGTATCTGATTTAAGCTCCAATTGTGGATACTTATCATGCCTTTCCACTTCTAGATTAAAGGGCTCTCTAGGAGCTTGATGGGTCATGAATAAGTCATTTTACAAATAGGAAGAAGCAGGAGTTGCTGCACCTGGGTGGATTCAGTTTTTCCAGTTGTAGAACAACTCTCCAGGAAAATCAAGATCAGATCAGACAGAGCAGATTTTCTTTGCTGTTTGAAAAATTCTTTCCCATAACAGCTCTCTAAACAGTCATGAAAACCCTTAAATGTAGCCAAGAAAACAATGATAAATTACATCTTTTTAGGATATCACCAAATAATTTTGTTCACAGAGTGGAGGGACAGAGAAATTAATTCCTCCCATTTTAGTTAAATTCATCCTTCCACATCACCTTCATGAAACACAAACTATTTTAAGAATGCAGAAGTCCTTTGGAGTTTATAGATTTGTGAGAGCAACATCAGATTAGACACTTGAAATAAAATTTCCTATCCTTCAATGTCTTCATCTCATCACTCGCAGGTTTGGATTTACTATATCCCTGGAGCTGGTCCTGACTGACCTCTTTAGCAGGTTGGTGACCATCCAAAGGTACAACACTGGTGGTGTTGCCTTGGTGCAAGGCTTAAATCCAGAGGGTCTCCAGGCCAGGACCATGTGGCTCATAAGAAATGTTTAAATAGGAGGGCACCAGGAGAAAGAGCTCCCTGTGTTGTCTCTGGGGACATGCACCCTTCGGAGCTGAGGGATGCGGGGAGGGGAAAGCAGGGTCTCACCTTGTCAATGAAACAGGCGAACTGGTTATTGAGGTTCTTGATCTGCTCCTTCTCATGGGTCCGCACTTGGCACTCCTCGGGGTCCACGCCCACGCACAGGGGCTTGAGGAGCTCTGGGTGGATGCTGACGCCGCGAATCCCCTCGGACCTCCCTCCGCCGAGGCCAATGCCGATGCCACCACCGTAGCCCCCCACGGCCACGCCATCCCCCAGGCCTCTGTAGCTGCCCAGGCCCCCGAAGCTCGCACAGTTCCCAAAGCCCACGACGGTGCCAAAGCGGCCCCCGCCGTAGGCGACGCCGCAGCGCCCAATGCCGGCACCGCCGTAGACCCCGCTGCGGCAGCTCCCACCAAAGGAAATCCTTTGCCCTCTGCCCAGGTCACAGACACTGCGGCTGCTGAAGCCACCGATCCCACACCTCCGTCCCACGGGCTGGCAGACAGAAGCCGAGCTGCTGTTGGGCCTGCCCAGGCCGCAGACGGCGGATGCCGAGGAAAAGCCTCGTCGTCCCAGGATGGAGCCAGAGGTGTAGCACTGTCGGCTCATGGTGGCTGGGGTGGGCGGGCAGTGACAGTGATGCAGAGGAGCAAGAGAGGAGCAGGGACTGGAAGAAGGAGATCTCCTTTAGCTCCTCCGAGGCAGAGCCTTTCTCCTTATATACATTTCAGGAGGTGCCTCAGATGCAAAAATTTAATTTATCCACTGGGTTTGGTCTGCCTGGCAGCAAGGAATGGCTTCCAACATTTTAAACCCACAGCAAACACTTCTATCTCATATGAAATAATGTGGAAATTAAAATAAACTGCTTTGCTTGCAAGCTTCTGTTTCAGGACTTATATTTTACTTAATTAATCTGCTTCCTTATTGTGTAATTATAGTTTAGCAAAATAATTCAAGGGGTTTTTATTCATGGCTTGTTTACGGTTTGGTTTCACCACAGCGTTTAATTACGTTTCAGGACCTCCTGCAAAATGTCATGGGGATGCCGCCCCTTTCAGGGTCCGTGGCCATCTCCGGGCGGGCTCTTGGGCAATGACAGCTGCTGACAGGGAGAAGGAAGGCAGATCCATCCCGGCTCAGCACTGACGTTGTTGGGAGTGCTCTCGTAAGCATTTATTCCTTCCTCTTGTGGGGATGGCTGTGGCTCTTGGAGAGGATTCGGGTGCGGATCATCAGAATGGGGCTGGTGGTTTCCACAGGATGGGGCAGGAACCGTGTGAGGTGGTGCTGAGGATGAGTTTGGTCATGGGGAAGATGCTCTGGGGGTTCAGAGAATCATGGAGTCATGGAATTATTTGGCTCAGGAGCCCTTAAAGCTCATCTCAACCCACCCTCTGCCGTGAGCAGGGACACCTTCCACTGTCCCAGCTTGTTCCAAGCCCCATCCAACTTGGCCTTGGTCACTTCCAGGGAAGGGTCAGCCACAGCTTCTCTGGACAACCTGTGCCAAGGCCCAGTGGGGCTTCCACTGTCCCTTAGCATACCTGAAATTGAAGATAAGGCATTTCTGGGAAATGAAAGTGATTTATTACTGAGTTATGTGCCCAGGGAAAGTGCTACACTTCGAACATGGGCATGATGGGACCGGGGCACACAGCAGATTCACGAGAACAGGAGAACTAACAAAGAAGGGAAATGTTGCAAGCAGGTTGAGAAATGTCAGGTGGAGTGAAGGTTTTGTCTGGTCATCCCTAGACACACCTTTTTGACGTTAAATCTGTCCAGTAGTATCTGGTAATGAGAAGGCATTGTCCCATCTTAATTAAAATCCTTAAAAAGATTTTTGAATTTACTTGGAAACAAAGATCCCTTTTTTGCCTTAAAAGGGGGTCTAATCACATAAACAAAAGAGATTGCAGAGCTTGCCCTGAGAAATCTTTACATCTTTGCTGGAGCAAAATTAACTGGTTCTGGGAGGACTCACTGCTATTGTCAGTGGTCAGTGTGAAATGCACAGGAATTCAAGAAGACGAATCAGGATATTTAGAATATTTGTGTAGTATTTCCTGGAAGGATCTTTCCTTTTTTTTTTTTTTTAACAGATCTCATAATGGATTCAAATTTAAAAATTACTATATTTACTTATAATCACCTAGGGTTCCATTTTAGCTATGTTGGTCTGAGTATACACAGATGCACATCTTGCAATGACATGTACTTTCATAGAATGCTGGAATCATGGAATGTGTTGGAAGGGGCCATAAAACTCATCTCATTCCAACCCCCTGTTGTGGCCAGAAACACCTTTCACTATCCCAGATTACTCTCATTTGCAGATAGTTGGAGAAACCATATGAGCTTTGGGGCACCACATGCTTCATATCACTTCAAGGTAACCCAGGCACTGGGACCTCTTGCATGCAAGTGAAAAGAGAAGAAATATTTTGGAGATGAGTTTTATTTTGAGCCAAAGCATTGGTGCAATCCCTGGAGAAGACTCTGGGTGTATGAAGCCAGACATGGAGCACAGCCTGGGGACAGGGCGTTCATGGAAAGGACAATGCATCACTGAGCCCTTAGGGAGGTCCAGACATGACCTTCATGAACTTTTTCAGGCTGGCACAAGCACAGGCAAGCTGAAAAGGGGGAGAAGCCAGGCTCTTGTTCTGCTTTCCATGTGGCTCAGCCCTGCACAGCTGCCTGGATCGGGAGCAGCTGCTGCTCCGAGCTCTGCTGCCCAGAAGAACCACAGAGAGACTGCATCTCCTCTTCATGGCAGGAAGACATGGCCCTTTTCCCTTGAGGACAACAACTTTCCAGTTTTTCCAGGTGTGAAAAATCTGCATCTGGCTGGGGTCATGTCCCAGTTATCCCCCATATCTCTGCTCAGCCACTGTGGACTGCCTTGTACCACACAGGTGACACACATTTCAGGGAGGTAGATGCTCCAAACCCCTGGTTTTGTTGGAAAACAGGGGAAAATGCTGCTCATGGGACAATCATCCTCCACCAGCTACAAGCCCTGAGATCCCTTCTTGTGTATGAAGAGTTGTTGGGCTGTTCCTCCAACAAACCTGATCTTCAACCTCTGACTCCTGCTCCTGTCCCTAAGAAGTGGCTTCTCCAGGTGCCCAGCCTTGCACATCAGAGGAAGTCAGTCCAGGGCAGCACCTGTGGTTAGCAGCTGCTGAGCTTTCACAAAGCTGTTTTGGTGTCACATGGTGGAGGTTCCACCAACTTCAAAGCAGGAAGGACTCCAATGGGATTTGGGCTTTCCAAGAGAAGGGTTGCAATGGTTTTTGTGCACAGGTTGTCTTCCTTGAGACCTTTTCATGTGTCCAGACTTTATTGTGGCTGGGACAAAATGAGATGGTATTGGCAGAGAGGGACCCAATCTTCCACTATCCAAGGAGGATATGAAACCGCTTCTCTCATGGATTCATCTTTTATTTTAACCTACAGCTTCCACACAGGTTTACAGGGGAAACCCCTGAGCTGCTTGGCCCTAAACATTCCTTGAGCTGTGGTGGCTTTCATGAGACTTTAAAACCTTTGAGATTTACATATGCTCAGATAAATTCATGGTGCTTAAGCACCAACTAAACTGGGACCTGCTAAGCCACTCCTGCAGACAGGGAGAGCTTGGGGGTATTTCCAACCTATTGTTGGGATTTTGTCTGAAAAAAACCATCCAACAGAGTCTGATTTGTCCCAATGAGAAAAGCACTTTTTAAGACCCTCTCCTTGAAAAACAGGGCTATCAGGGCTGGCGGTGTGCTCCCTCCCTTCCTGCAGGCTGGGCAGTTTTTGTGGCTCCCTTTGGAAAGGACACAAAGTCAACATTAAAAGGGTTAATGAGGCCCCCAGGACACATCCCACTGGTTTGGCTGGTCCCGCTCTCCAAAGGTGGCTGTTCCCCATCTCTTAAGTGCAGGTTGATTTGGCTCCCACATCAAAGCAGACAGGGATTAGTGGGGACAGGAGTAGAGATGATGGTCTGAAACTGGGAACCAGTAACCTTGCTCCACAGCCTCTCCTCACCCTCAGCCTGGGTCGTCCCTGTCCATTTATGCTGCTTTGGGGCAAAGAGACAGAAGAGAATTCCTGAGGTTCCTTCCAGGCTGTTCCATGATTCCTGCCCGTATGTACCACTTGCATTTGAGGTGTTTACAGGTATGACCTTCCCAAAACTTCATCCTTCCTTCTGCTGGACTGTAGGTGACCCGTGTGATCCTATCATAGTGTTGGGGTGTTGAAACACCTACCCCCCGCAGCCCCCCACAGTTACCAGTCTAGCCCAGATTGGCGCGGCCTTGGGGGGAAGCATTCCTGGAGCACGGCAAAGATTCCAAAAGAGGCTCCAACCCCCGGTGTGGTCCAAGATGTTTATTCCATAGAAGGAAGGGGGAAAGAGAATGAACAAGGAAGGGACAGAGCCTTATCTAGGTTCAGTACAGGAGGGGCTACTTGGCTCCCAGCCAATTGAATCAGGAAAGGAAGGAAGGGTCAAATTAACATGGTCACAGCTACAGGGGTCTCTGGGGAGTGAAAAAGCATTTCCCAGAGCAACACAAACAGGGTGTTGTGACCAAGAACAAAATGAGAGTTAGGGTCTCTGCTCAGAGAACAAAATTAGAGAATAAGATCCACCTGTGTGCCCTGGCAGCCAGGAGGGACAGCACCTCCTGGGGACACCAGGCCCAGGCTAGCCAGGCCAGGGAGCAGGATTGTCCTGCTTTGCTCTGGGCTGAGGTGGCCTCACCTCCATTCGGGGGGGCAGATTTGGGTGCCATAATATAAGGAAGACCTAAAGATGTTGGAGAGGGTCCAAAGGAGGGACATGAGGATGAGGAGAGGTCTGGAGGGGCCACATGAAGTCAGCCTGGAGGAGACTGAGGGAAGACTTGTCAGGGGCTGCATCTTCATCTTAAGAGCCAACTCCAATCTCTGCTGTCTGTGAGCAGGGATAGGACCCAGGGAACAGTTGGAGGTGTGTCAGGAGGGTGAAGTTGGATATTGGGAAAAGGCTCTGCTTGCAGAGGGTGGTCAGGCACTGAACAAGTTCCCTAGGAAATGGTCATGGGCCCAAGTCTGCCAGAGCTCTAGGAGTCTTTGGACAGCACTCTCAGGCACACGATTTTTGGGATTTTTGGCATGTCTTGTACAGGGTCAGGAGCTGGACTGGTGATTTGGGTGTGTCCTTTCCAACTCAGGATATTCCATGGTTCTATAAAATGCCCCCTCAAGGTGATGTGTCACATGAGGAACACATGGAGCCACCTTTTGCAAGAGACAAAGAGGTTTCATACCAACCACCACAAGTGTCCACCCCTTTCTTTGTAACACTCCTCCTTTGCATAGGAATTTGTGAGGCATTTTGACATCATTCAGACAACTTTGTGCCAGTCCTCATGGCTGAGGGACCGCAAGGGCTCTAAATAATAGGGTGGGATCAGAGTGATGGTGTCAGGATGAAAGCAGAGCAGCCAGAAAGGAGCACTGGAGAGAGTCTCCCTGTCGAGAAGGAACCCCCCAAAGGCACAAGGTGTCCACTGGAAGAGTTTTTTGGGGAAAGGTTGGCAAAAAATCTCCCATGGGGAGGGCAT